TTCTTCTTCTTTTTCTTTCTATTTCTTAATTTCTGTTGTAGGCTATTATTGCGATAATCATGAGCACACAACGCCAAAAAAACGTATACAAACGTCAATTTCATTTTCTAGCACAAACCGCTCTTATCTATGGACCGCTCTTATCTATGGGATTTTAGGGTAATTGCTGTCAAATCACACGCCTCACCCTGAGAAGGGGTGTAACCTCTTGCTATTTGTAAAGGAGGCTCATGCTGCTAAACAGCTTCGCAGCCGTTGAGAGATCTTTGGAGGAAACATCAGTGATCGATAGGACCAGCAAAATTCTCCCAGCAAGCCGAAGTGCGCCCTCAAAAGGGACACCAAACAAGACCAACAAGACATATAAACCCATGGGACAAAGAGGAAGCTTGTCCAAGGGATACTGTACGCACCACCGTACTACTATCGTATTACTGTGCCGGAAGTGCTGCTGATGGCCCAAAGGATTGTAACAGAGTCCTATGGTGTTCTTATTTCAGAAAATCTTCTCAACTGCGGTGTCGCTCAACTACACTCATCAATCAAATAACATTTAACCATATATACAAAGAACATTACACTGTCACACAGATTAATCCACCAGAAAAGCATTACACCACGTGACACCGTGTCCATCTAGGCAGTATTGTTGACTTTGCGTGATGAATGACATTGGTTCTGATGCACACACCACAGCCCAGCTGCCGCCGAGTTTGGCTCGCGCCTGAATGAAAGATTCAGTTGGGAAACTCCCACTTCAACTTCTGCCAGTTTCCGGCTAATGGCGTTAGATGGCGCCGGCGCCAAAGCGGACGTCATATTCGTGATCGGGCACCAAGTGACCAATATAAACAATGTTCCAGAAGAGAATTTTTTTCATAGTTTTTAGGGTACTCGCACTACGGCGTGCCATGTTGCCTGTTACCCTTATAGTTTGAATTCTCTGGAAAAGGTATGAAGAGTTTTCTCACTGGGAAAGGTTCCCTGAAGAACTTGAACTATTTCCAGAGTCTAAAAGTTGAAAGGCCCGTCTACCACGTATGGTGGACACGTTCCCAATGAAACAACTTGGTGTTCACCAGTGAGGAACATTGTCACGAATCGGGTAAAAGCAAAACATGCAGTAGCAAAGTACATAATTACATACCTCTGAGTGGATGAGAGAGATGGCTTTGTCCGGATTTTCCCTGATTCCCTGGAAAACCTGTCCTGACTATATAGTATCTTTTTTTTCAAAGAAATGACTTACATTTAGGATAATCTCCCTCAGCTGTTCGTTATTACATCTGCGATCATAGCTACGAACAGGTTCTGCTACTCTGCTAGCCTGTCGCTTCTTACGGCCGCACTGTAAAACGAAACCACTATAGAAACCATGTTTTGGACACGAAAGCCCACTGCCACTTGGACCTGAAGTGGGCCAGATGATCCCTGATGGTCACGAATTGCCTCACAGATCGGGGAAAACCTGCTGCAAAAGAATCGCAGTATTGAGTGGTCGGTCCAGTCAATGAATTAAATGAAATAGTGGACTCGGCATAGAGTTAACTTGCCCCTTCCTCCTCCACCCGGTTGAGGTACCTGTTAGGGGCAAAGGATGTTATGGACAGGGGATAATGGTAAGCCCTGCAACCTCATGTGTACATTTGACACTAACTTGAGGTGCTTTTTCAAATGGAACACTACGCTGCCCTCTTCCAAGAACTGCCTGTTATTTCACCAACCAAACTGATTTTATCAACTGCCGCCTTTCCTGAAAAAAAAACCGCTGCTGTAGGTTGCTGTCACCACTGTGACTCTGTATACTCGCCCTCTTTTTCGCCTCTCTTTTCGATTGCTTCATAAAGAGTGAAAATGTGTATTCTGTACTGACCCTAAGGCCATTATTTAGCTAGTAGATCACCTGACATTTAGGTATTTCCCATCAAGACAGAGCTGAGGAAAATTCTTTTGCAGTGGCATAGCGTGTCCCTTCCCCTCGTCCACCCTCCGTCCCAATACTCACCGTCAAGAGGGAGTAGGAGAACAGACATCTTATCAGTTATCAAAAGATACTAAAGACCCCAGAGATGCCGTTGGCATGGTTGCGTATTTGAATTGTACGGGTGGCGGCCAAGATTTAAGTGATATATTTTCATTTTGAGACAGTCGTAATCACGCCTTTGATCAACACGAAACGCAGTGATTGTCGCAAACAGAAATATGCTACGACTAACCCATCCTATGCCATGTTTAGATGCCGCGCCTGCTCAGGGAGTGGGAGTGGATATGCAGTGCCAACTATAAACCGTCAACCATTGGAGAAGATTACCAGGTGCGTCCCTCCCATATTTTCCTCCTCGATACAGTTCTCCCCAACCACAGCACCCCAAAACCGCAGGTGGAGGCCAGATCAACTACCAGAACCAGCTGCTCACGTCTCCATCTGAGCGGGGGAGGGAGGTGTATATTAGCAGTAGAATGATAAAAAAGTGTTAGTCCTCAACACTCTGACCTTACCAGACAGAGTGACCATTAGTTTGGAATGGAAGAAAGCTTTAGTAAACGTGAACACCAGGGTAATCAAAGCGTCCCCCCCTGCATCCCTATCTCCCGCTAAAGAATCCTAGCGGGCGGCGCAGCCTCCCCTGAACCGTCTGTAACCGAGCGATTACTTCCCAGTCGCGGCATCGCATCGCGGTACAAGATGACCAGGGAGAGTCGCCGCGCAGCGACGCTGCCATTTCAGCCTGGCGCGACGACTCTGTCTCCGAAGTCAACTCGTACTGCGAGGCCCCGTCTGGCAAGTAACTCTCTGCACCCCTGCACTACCTCCTGTGGTAATTTTGAAGCCTTTAAAATATATAAAAATCTATACCCTACTACAATTATAAAACTGAGGTTGTAAACAGGTAATAACAAAGTAACTTGTGATGATCGTATGACTAACTAACCATGCAAGGACACGGAGAAGGCAATGAAAGTCTAGGTAGAGACGGTAAGTAGAGCGGAGGTATTCCGCCTCCACATCCGCAACATCCTGAACATTTGATGTCACATTATGTCCCTAAAACGATTATAGGCCTTCAACTAGAAAAGGACAGCTTCGCCCAAAGTGGGATTAGAAGGCAGTTGCCGATCAAATCTTAAGACGTCCTAAGGATTGACGCTCCGCCAATAAGTACGCTTGGCACGACCCGAGTCCGCGCGCGAGCTGCGCTACGTTGGCGCCTTTTTCGACCGAGGTACCCCTAGCGCCACAAAGCTGCCTAACCTACCTGACCCGACGCCCATTGCGCCCGATCCGCCCGACGAGGCGACCGACTGAGCGTATGCTTCATTTGCGGAAAATAAATATGAAGCGAAGGAATTAATATGAAGCGGCCGCGGTGCTGCAGGTTTTTGACTGTTTCCTTCGTTTTTTCCCATTTTCCCCCTATTTAGCACCCTGTTATTGGGTTGGCCCATAAGTAACGGCCGCTTCTTGTTCACTCGCAAATTTTTCTGTGGAAAATGGTAATTTTTTGGCAATGTCTACTCTACTGTTTGATAGATAATTTTCTGCTCTAACGATAGTGCCGTCGCCTCCTACTGCCTTTTTGATCTTTGTTGATTTTTATTCCATTGAAATCGAAAGTCGAGTCGACACAAAAGTAAGTTTTCGACGATGACTTTCTGCACTCTTTCTCGGCTCTCGAATTGCAGAAGAAGCTCGAAACTTGAGCTGTATGAGATAAAGGGAAGATGTCTCTTATGCTGCTTAAAGTTGGTTCAAGCGATCAATTTTGGTTTTCGGTACCTTTGTAAACGTGCAAAGCATGGGGGGCCCTTTTAGGGCGATGCCTGCAGGAACTACCCATAATTGTTCGAATGTTTGTAAACATCAACCTGGGATGGTAATGATGATGATGAGGAACTCCATAACTTCAACAATTTTCCATCCTTTGTATGAATTTCCACCGAACCGAGGCTATTCAGTAAGCTCTCATATGGGCTCAATAAGGCATTAGGTCCGATGCTTCCCTGTGAGATCGAACTCTCTATACTATTGTGAGCATTTCTAAGAGACATAGCCTTTCTGCCATATACTTAGCAACTGGCCTGTGCGGTTTTAGCTTTTCAATCAGAAGTAAAAAGAGAGGCTGTCGAAAATTTTGCTCAATTTCGTCGACTTGATACCACTTTTTGGAGCACTGAAATTCTTAGGTGGAAACAGCAAAAATTCGAGAAGAGAACAAGAAAGAAGCAGAAAGAAGAAACCTGATGTGTAGGACAAGAAATTCTTTACAAAATGTTGTGAAATTTAACGACAAAAGTTTTCATCTTTAACGCGATATTTCGAGTGAGGAAAAAAGCCAATTTATGGGCACACCCAATAGTATTTTGAACGAGTACCAAATTATCGTGCCTTATGCCTTTGAGATGATTTACAAAGGATGTCGAGGAGATAAGGAGGAGCACGGCCGCATGCCTTTCTCTTGGGATGTGGCGGCTGCTTTGCTTCCATAGAATGGTCCCAGAAAATTGTAGTGCACGCTTTATTCAAGAGGAGTGCGCTAAATGGAAATATCACATTAATATAAAGGATCCTCCTGCTTGTTCCAATGAAAGCATGAAATCCACGCCCATCCCCACCTCTCTAAGAACCCTGAACATTGGCGCAGATAGCAGTGCTGCCTTGGAACTGCTTTTCAAGACTGGCTGATAGCGTCAACAGAGAAAAGCTTATACCCCTTATGCCCCTTTTTTACGAGAAAAGCAGGCCGTCGGTGTGTAAATCTGATCCCCAGCAAAGGGGCGGAACGGCATGATAAATTACCGTTGATCAAGGATGTAAGAATCAAAAATCGAGAATACACGTTTTACTGAACAGCTCACCAAAGCCCTGCGAAGCTACGATCGGGAGGAGGAGTAGCGAGATCAGTTGCAAGAACATTTTAGCTTGGAGGAAGAGGATGGACGGCGAGTTGGTCATGACTGACCAAGTAAAAGAAAAGCGGATTTATAGGAGTGACCGGCAGACCAGATCAAGCTCGCTAATGGCGTCCGCCCACCTGTCGTCCCTTTGGAGACGTGCTCAAAAAAACTCCCATGCTCACCGGAATGTGGGTGTAATTTATATAAGAAGTTGCGATAATGGGTGATAAAAACTGCCGTTCCTCCATCATCCTAAATGATGGACTAGACGCAATGACGAAAGTGCGGCTTCTGTAGTCATGCGCAGATCAGTCAAGGCGTTACACAGAAGTTTTTCTCGTCATTACACCTTGATGTAAACGTGTGAAATAAGGTGGAGTGCGTATGGATGTCCATGAAATCTCCATGAAGCTTAAAACAACGCGAAACAGCTTCAGTCAGGCTATTCTGGAGTATGTTTGGTCCTAACGCTTTCGACATCAGTGTTTCTTCTGAAGCATGGTCTCTTCTATTTCTAAATTTGTTCATACTTGAATTAGACTGAATTCCGAGTGTTTCGCTGTTGCGGCTCATTCTCTTGCGTTCTCAGCTATCCGAAATGAGCCCGTAGTGGACTTCAAAACTGAAACAGCACATGTTGCGGTGCATGATCCAGTACTGCGAATAGGTGTAAGCGGACTGTATCATGAAAGAGACGCTCACCAGTCAGTAACCCAACATGTAGCTTTGATTGAGTGTTTATTTTATTTTGTTTCGAAGTGCCCGGTTTTCTCGCAGTATGTAGTGTTCTGCTCTCCCTTGCACCGAAAAGGTTTGGGAGTCATTTAACGGAAAAGAGCTCGTAAATATGGCTGTGCTTTACCACTGGGACACCGTGCGTATCCGATTGGTCTCACGTTCTGCGATACCCCGGCGCTAGACCACAAGCGGTGAAATGAGGCTTATAAGTGCAATGCGATTGTTGTCAGTCTTCCAGCACCTTCTTCTCCCTAGCGTTAGTCCCGCGCCGTCGCAGGGTCCGCTGTTCTTGTTAGACGTCGCCACTTGTTCCGATCCACTGCATCTTCTGCCACTCAGTGAGGTCCTTCTTGATGACGTCCCCTCCATCTTTTCTTTGGGCTAGTCTCTTCCGTTGCCCAGGGTCGCTTGCCCTCTGCTTCGAATTCCAATGCCTTCCTTATTGGGTGGTCCTCAGGCCTTCTCAGCAGGTGCCCATACCATGGCAGTCGCTGCTCTCGTGCCTTCAGCTGGATGCGGAGACGTCTGTTGATGCGTTCTGACGTCCTCGTTTCTGACTCTGTCGAGTCGTGTCCAGCCGCAGGCCCATCTCAGCATCCTCATTTCAGCTGAGTGGAGCTGCCTTTCATGGTTCTTGCAGATGGGCCAGCACTCACTGCCGTAGAGCATTGTAGGCCTTACCACCCGTACAACTTC